GAAGTGTTTAGAGGCTGTCATTTCTGTGAAAGGAGGAGCTACTAAATATTGAGTTAAAGTTTTTTTATGGTGCCACAATTAATGCACCTGTCTAATTTTGTTTAACCAATTATTGCATACTTTCTGTAAATCATATAAACTTCATTTCATTTCTCAAATATCACTGTCTTTGTCCCCTATATGATGTATTTAACTGATTTTATTTTAAATCCAAACAAGTGATTTATAAAGATAAATCAGGAAAATTAACAATGCTGCCCAAACTTTTTCATATGACTGTAGTATGAGTGAGTAGGGATGTAAGATTTTTGGTTTGACTAGATATTGTTGTGTTTGCTAAGGTTAACTTTGAATTGTATTGACTCCAAATGTTTATAAACACACACGGGTGACAATAGATGGTGAAGTTTATATTTTTGGCTGCAGCAACAGCTTCACTACAAACTGTTGAAATAACGAACAGGGCAGACACRGACAAATCATGTGCTGCTTGTCTAAAAGTTCTCAATAAGTCCTTAATATCTAATAAGTGAGGATGCTTTGTTGCTCAGGCGTCTGAAGACTGGCTCGGAGATGCTAACGAGCCTCTGACTGGATTTTCCTGGAGGGGAGGCTCAGAGAGGGAGACCACTGGAATCCAGATCTGGAGTGAGGTGTTTCTGGTGGACAAACCAGACGGCAGAAAGGTGAGACTGTCAGCTCACAGCGAAGCTTTCAGAAAGTTTTCAACATGTTTAATCACACGTCACATATTTATTCAGTAGTTCAGACCAATAGAAGCTCTGCAGCTAACCACAGTACAGGTCGGTGAGTCCTTCTGTCTCATTCTTCAGGTGGCTGTGCTGCTGATGGACACTCAGGGAACGTTTGACAGCCAGTCGACTCTGAGGGATTCAGCCACAGTGTTTGCTCTGAGCACCATGATCAGCTCCATGCAGGTACAAAGCTGGAGTTAACTCAACACCCTGACTTCTCTGAACCTGTATGACTGTAGGTGTGCATGTACAGGGATGGCAGTTACAGTGAGTTGCAGAAGTATTCAGCCTAATTTTTCTGTTTTGTTGCCTTACCACCTGAAATKTATTTGTATTTTAAAACCTGTTAACATTCAGCGGAATGTCCGCGTGCCGTTTTTGTTTCATTTTATTTTGAAAGGCTGTTCTGTGTTTCTGTTCAACCTGTGTCCGTGTTCAAAGCATCAAAATGGATGTCTACGCCCTCTTCTTTCGATTGATACTTCATTATACCAACTAGGTTCAAGTATCGGCTGTCCAGAGCCAATAATATATGAGAAGTGACCAATTTCCGGTTTCTGTCATCCTGGGATTGATTGACAATAGAATCGGCCAGTCAGCTCCGAGCTTCGTTCTGATGCCACAGCTGTGCAGCCAATCACCGTACCTTTTATTTGATATGTATATTGAGGGGGTGTGGAGGTCGTCATATTTGGGCCGTACTTGTTACTAGGCTAACGAAGGAATCTAACGCTCACAGGAAAATGTTTTTTCCCCATCATTTTTTGGCCAGTTAGCTGACTAAACCTGCTGATAAGATGAAAATATATTTGTTATTAAGTGTTTCGAGTGCTTCAAGACATGGAAGAGGGATATTTGTGGCCAGGAGAAGTAAAAAGTATGGATGAACACTTCCGGTCTGCCATTTTGAATCGCTAATTTCGTCATAATTGAGGACAAATATGCGTCAAATGTGAGTGAAAAACAAATGTTTTTTTTCACTGCTGGTGGTTTTAAAAGCTGTGTGGAATGTTAATGCTTTGAAAGAAATAAGGATATATTTGTTTATTCTTGTGTTTTGGCTGTTTGTTGGTGGAAATTTGGCTGAATGAACTCCAGGTGGTCTAAATATTTCTGAACATTAATATATATATATATTTTAATTTAATCATGCGGTGAGTAAATATGGATGGTAGAATGTGTTCTGTGGGGGTTTTATCTTTAATTTGAGCCCAGAGTGAAGTCTCTGTGTTGAAGCTTAGTGTTTTAGACAAACTGTACAGTTTAGACATATTGTGTACAAATATGCAAATGAGACATGCTGGATTGTACTATGTCTCAAATATTCATATTTTATGCTACTGTTAGCAAATTTGAACTGGTAATATTGAGAATTAATATTTTATCCCAGTAAAATTTGTTTGATAATATCTCATTCCCTTCATATTCTGTGATTTTTTTAATAAAAACTAAAAATTTAGGGAGAAAAATATCTTGATTTTTGTGTTTTACTTCAATATACTAAATACTAGTTACAGTTACAAAGAACATGACTGGTGAAGTTAAAAATTCAGATTATTAGCTTTAAAAAGAGACCAAGCTTGTGAATTTACTCTAAAGGGTTCAAAAGCAGTACATCATTTAATTTGTGTGTACTTTTTTAGGCGTTTTTTTTGGTATTTTATGCCCGAAGGCTGTAGTCAATAATTGCAGAAAAACACATCAGGTTAATTAAGGTAAAAAGAAAAATGCATTCAATAAGTCTAAAATATGTATAACTGAACAATAATGTATGCATATTAAGGGCGTAACGGTATGCCTTAGTCACAGTCACAATGCTCACAGGGTCACAGTTTGGTTTCTTTCTTTTTTTTGTGTCACTTCAGTAGAAGACGAAACCAAATATTAGTTTATTTAGTTTATTTATTTCTTCATCATCAGTGACTTTTTTAAGTGATGAGAAAATAGAAACGGAGAGAGAAGTAATTAGAAAGATTGAAAGATTGTCACAGTTTGGTTTCCTACAACAGGAGGGAACACAAATGCCAATTTTTTAAATGTATTCGTATAACTTTTTCAACATTACAAAACCTAAAGCAAATGAGAACAAATATTCCCCCATAAAGCCTAGGGCTGTGTATTGGCAAGAATTTGGCGATACTATACATCCCGATATATTGCGATACTGTAAGCAAGGCAATATATTGCGATTTTTTTCGTCCAAAAATTCTATTAAATAA